CACCAACGCCATCTACTGCCAATAAGATGTACTGTGTGTGTTGTCCGGAAGGAAGAAGTCTATATGTCATGTTTTCTTAATAAAATATTATTCTGTTGTTCGCTTTTCGCATCGCTGCAAGCTACAAGTTGTTTTATTTATTAATAGGTTATGGGCCCAGGTCCGTAAAGTTTAGTCATTCAAACTCATAGAGTTAGTTCTAATTAGCATCAGTATATTAGTGAGTAACTGCATCGTTGAAATTACAGTGGAAAACTTTATATCCTTGTTGCACGTGGCGCGTTATAGTTTAGTGTGATTAACAAAGATGGCTTCTAGTACAAACTCCTTTATTGCAAATGTGCCGAAACTAAAAGGTCGAGAAAACTATAGCGAGTGGGCGTTTGCTGCTGAAAACCTACTAGTACTCGAAGGAAAGCTCAAATTTGTCAAGACTGAGGGGGTCGGCGAAACCATTACGGAGGACGCCATGACGAAAGCGAAGTTGATTCTAACTATAGATCCTTCGTTATACGTGCACATTTAAGATGTTAAGTCCACTAAACAACTATGGCAGAAATTACAGCAGATGTTTGATGACGCCGGTTTTTCGAGAAGAATCATGTTATTGAGAAATTTAATTTCAATACGTCTCGAAACTTCTGATTCTATGACGAGTTATATCACTCAAATAATAGAAACCGGGCAGAAATTATCCAGAACGGGTTTTGTGGTGAATGATGAGTGGATTGGCTGTTTAATGTTGGCAGGATTGCCCGAAAAATATTTTCCAATGTTAATGGCAATTGAACATTCCGGCATCGCCATTACGGCGGATGTTGTAAAATCTAAATTATTAGATTTGACCGGAAACGAAGATTCAGTGGAAACTACTGCTTTATACACTAGAGGGCGTCAACGTGTCAATCATAAACCATTCAGTAAAACCGGAAATGCATTCAAAGATGTCGATATGTCAAATGTAAACAATAGCAAAAAGAAAGTCATCAGGTGTTATCGTTGTAAACAGATAGGGCACTACAAAAATAAGTGTACACAAGCTCAAGACACAAACAAAAACAATTCTAATGTTTTTTCTGCATTGTTTTTGCGTGGAACCTTCAAGAAAAATGATTGGTATTTGGATTCTGGTGCAAGTGTGCATATAACCTCAAATGTAAAAAATATTCGGAACACATCGAAAAACACGAGTGTAAGGGAGATTACAGCTGCTAACAATGGAGTGATGGCTGTATTATGCTCGGGTGATGTTGATATTATTACAACCACGTCGAAATGCAAATATAATATTACAATAAAAGACGTGTTATGTGTGCCCAATATCGCAACGAATTTATTATCTGTGAGTAAATTAATTCAAAATGGAAACAGAGTGGACTTTCAGAAAAATTGTTGCTATATTTATAACAGCAGAAATCAACTGGTTGGAGAAGCAAAATTAGTTGATGGTGTTTATAAACTTAATGTGGAAAATAAACACAACTGTTTGTTTACAACATCAGACAGCGTGAAAAGTGAACTGTGGCATCGAAGAATGGGCCACTTGAACAGTAATGATCTTAATAAAATGAAAAATGGTGCAGTTGTGGGTATGGATTTCGAGGATAAAGCTGTTGTTGATAAAGGTACATGTGTTGTGTGTTGCCAAGGTAAGCAGTCACGATTACCGTTTGACCATGTCAGTACAAGAAGCAGTGAAGTACTTAATATAATTCATGCAGACGTGTGTGGACCAATGGAGGTGACTTCAATTGGTGGCTGCAGGTATTTTCTGATTTTCATTGATGATTACACACGCATGACCTTTGTTTATTTTTTGAAGTCCAAGAATGAAGCTCTTAAGTATTTTAAAGATTTTAAAGCTTTAGTTGAAAATCAACAGGATAAGAGAATTAAAATATTTAGAACCGATAATGGTCTTGAATTCTGTAATTCATTGTTTGACTGTTATTTGGCTGAGGCTGGTATACTTCATCAAAAGACTAATATATATACCCCACAACAGAATGCTGTCAGTGAACGCATGAATAGAACTCTAGTGGAGAGGGCTCGTTGTATGCTGTTTGATGCTGAACTGGACAAAAGGTTTTGGGCTGAGGCGGTGAATACAGCTGTTTACCTTAGAAATAGATCACCAGCATCAGGTTTACAAAATATTACACCGATTGAACTATGGACTAAAAAGAAGCCAAATCTTAGTCACATTCGGATTTTTGGGAGCCAGGTCATGGTGCACATCCCAAAAGAAAAACGACTTAAGTGGGATATTAAGTCTAAACCACATATACTGGTTGGTTATGCCGAAAATGTCAAAGGGTATAGGATTTATGACCCAGTTAAGAATTGTGTGTCTGTAAGCAGGGATGTCATAATCCAAGAAAATTTAAAGAGTAACATAGATGAAAGGATATCAGTTTCAGTGGGGGAAATCTCAGAAACAAAAGAAGTAAAGAAGGAAATGGATAAGTCTATTGATACAGTCAATAGTACAAAACCAAAACAGGAAATAAACCAGATGAATAATACTAATCAGACTAATAATCTTATATTGCAGAATGTAGATGAGATTCCACCCCTAGAAGAACCAAAGAGGATGAGAAGACCACCACAGCGTTACGGTTACTCAAACTTGTGTATACAGTCGAATGCTGAGAGTCATAGTGATCCAGTCAGTATCCAACAAGCTCTACGAAGCCCCGAAAAAGACAAATGGGTAACTGCGATGGAAGAGGAACTTCAAGCATTTGAAGAGAACAATGCCTGGGCAGTAGTGAGTGAAGTGCCTCAAGGAAAAACATTGATTCAGTGTAAATGGGTATATAAAAGAAAGTTCGATAGTGAAAATAGTGTTCGGTATCGTGCACGTTTAGTGGCAAAGGGCTTCATCCAGAAACCAGGAATAGATTATGATGAGACATTCTCACCTGTTGTACGTCACTGTACTTTAAGATTGTTATTTGCACTTTCTGTGCAATTAGATTTAAAAATTACTCACTTGGATGTTAAAACTGCTTTTTTAAACGGCATTCTAAAAGAAGATATTTATATGACTTATCCACAAATTAATTTAGATAGAAATAATAACAGAAAAATTGTCAAATTAAATAAAGCCATTTACGGCTTAAAGCAGTCAGCAAGGTTATGGTATGATAAAGTTGATCAATGTTTGACAGAGTTAGGCTTTAAGAGAAGTCGTATAGAACCATGTGTATTTACTAAATTTCACAATAATGTAAAAGTTATTATTGCTTTGTATGTGGATGATTTCTTTGTATACTCAAGCAGTAAAGTAGAGACAGATAATTTAATTTCAGTTCTGAATACTAAATTTCAAATAAAAGATCTTGGTCAAGTAAGGCAATGCTTGGGAATGAGAGTAAATATTGATAATATAAATAATATATGTACTTTAGACCAAGAACAATATATTGAGGAATTATTGATTAAATTTAACATGTTAAACTGCAAAGAGGCAAGTACACCTATGGAGTTAAAACTAAATATTGATAAAAATAACAATGTTAATGATACTAATATTCCATATCAACAATTAATAGGTAGCCTCATGTATTTGTCTGTATTGACAAGACCAGACATAGCTTTTAGTGTTAGTTTTTTAAGTCAATTTAATTCTTGTCATAATAGCACTCACTGGAATTATGCTAAGCGCATTCTTAGATATTTAAAGAGAACTAAAAATTATTGTTTAAGGTATGTAAAAGGTAACTCTGAATTGTCAGGTTTTGCTGATGCAGACTGGGCTAATAATTATATTGATCGGAAATCATATACAGGGTATTGTTTTATGATGTCAGGGGGTCTCATATCATGGGAGAGCAGAAAACAAAATACAGTAGCATTATCTAGCATGGAAGCTGAATACATGTCTATGGCTGAGGCATGTAAAGAGTCCATGTATTTAAGAGTATTATTGTCTGAAGTCACTAATCAGGATATTTGTCCTATTACCTTATACAATGATAGCCAGAGTGCCCAAAAACTTATTGTTAATCATGTTTTACATAGAAAAAGTAAACATATAGATATTCGTTATCATTTTTTGAGAGATGCTGTCAATAATAATGTTATAAACATTAAATATATGTATACCAATGATATGCCAGCTGATGTCTTTACAAAATCACTTGGTACAACTAAGCATTACCAATGTGTTAAAGCCTTAGGACTTGTTAATTTGTAATATGTAATTTATTTTTTATGGTTTCATGTGATGTAGTGGGGGTGTTATTTATATTTTTTACATCAAACGAAACCACCAACGCCATCTACTGCCAATAAGATGTACTGTGTGTGTTGTCCGGAAGGAAGAAGTCTATATGTCATGTTTTCTTAATAAAATATTATTCTGTTGTTCGCTTTTCGCATCGCTGCAAGCTATAAAATTGTATTTTGCATTTTCGCAAGAGCTCGTAACTTATGGTATGTACTCGCGCTTTCTGTCGCAAACAGTTTGTCGTCAGGAAAATGGCAAGATTACTAGTTAATAATGCTAATGCCGCAATATTTTATGTCCGTCATATTGCAATATTACTATATCTGTGTTCTGACGAAAATGACGAAAATTTTGCCTGATTAAGCATTATTCAGTAAAGAGCTTATTGATTTGAAAACCTCAAACTTAAACAATGTGCGTGTATTACAAAAGATTTTACAGTTTCTACCTGTTAAATGTGTCTGTCCCGCATTATGTTTGAGCGCATTTAATAGTCGAACAAATCGATTGTTAAGACACATTATCGAATCTAATGTGTGAGATAATACTTTCTACATGAGCCATAACAATTTAAACACGGGCAACTGGTTACGCAAAACTATCGTTTACTACATGTTTATTGTCAAGAATGAAAATGCACGGCTATAGTTGCGTCACGGCGTAGTGCGATGCGATACAGATCTGGGTCATATTATTACGCATTTCGCAAATAACATGCCTTGCGATCCACGTAATTACACTTAACAAGGTAACAAAAACAAGGGTTACAGTTAATTTTTGGCATCGCCAAATTTTATTTTACAATCAGTACGTAAAAAAAAAACTATTCCGAAAAGAGAATAAGAATTCCGTGTAACTTAAAACAACAGGTACATCAACTCAAACGTAACATCAGATAAAGTTTTTAAGCTTATAAAGAATCACAACAAAAAAATAGACTATTTATAAAGAGTATTATTTATCAGTGCGAGTGCGTGAGGCGTGGAACGGAACGTCTTTGGGATCTAGTGCGGTGACCAATATCTTCACGATGATACGTTCCACGTCTCCCGCTCGTTATTAGTGCTAAGCTTATATTTATATATCACATTCAGACAACTGCTTCCTGCAGCCTTTAGTAGCTACCATGATGACCATACTCGTGTCCGTGTTCATGACCGACGATTACTGGGACTGGCACCTTGACGGGGTACGGGACTGGCTTCTCCACTGGGTAGGGCACGTGTTTCTCGATGTGGACTGGGTAAGGCCTGTCGACTGGGACTTTCACGGGGATTGGCACATGTTTCTCTACTGGGTAGGGAATGTGCTTCTCGACGGGGTAGGGGGCGGGGTAAGGTACTTTAACGGGGTAAGGCACGGGCTTCTCGACATGGACGGGAACTGGGCGGTCGACGTGGACCTTTACGGGGTAAGGTACAGGCTTCTCAACGGGGTAGGGGACGGGCTTCTCGACGGGGTAAGGCACAGGCTTGGGAATGTGCACGGGGTAAGGCCTGTCTACGGGGACCTTGACTGGGACATGGACTTCCTTAACAACTGGGTAAGGAGCGGGCACATGGACGGGGACCTTCACGGGGTAGGGCACCTTCTTCTCAACTGGGTAAGGAGCGGGCACTGGAACCTTTACGGGCACATGCACGTGTTTCTCTACGGGGTAAGGCTGGGGCACGTACACTTTAACGGGAACGGGTCTATCGACCGGAACATGGACTGGGTAAGGAATTTTCTTTTCAACTGGGTAAGGTTGAGGAACGTGCACGGGTACCTTGACGATCTCTTTGACTGGGTAAGGCACGTGTTTGACTACAGGGTAGGGCTGAGGAACGGGCACCTTAACGGGCACTGGGATTTTCTTCTCTACAGGGTAAGGGATGTGTTTCTCCACAGGGTAGGGGACAGGGACGTTCTTCACCACAGTGACGGTCTTATGGACCTCCTCGTGTCCACCATAACCGCCTCCAATATCACCACCTAGGCTTCCATAGCCACCGTCGAATCCACCGTGTCCACCGTAACCAAGTCCAATATCGATAAGTCCTCTCTTCTCGTGCTTCTTATCGTCAGATGCCGCTTCCTTGTTGTCGGTCACTGCCACTTCTTTTTCTGCTTTCTTAGCTTCTTCAGCGTTGGCGAAGGCCAAGAGAGCCACCAGACTGGCGGCCACGAGCTGTCGAACAAAAGCAATAATTAGATTTTAATATATAACACCAGTGAATGTAGACACAATTGAAAGTAAACATCACAGTGGCTCGTAATGACTAATTAACTAGTAAGATATGTAATAAATCGACATCGACACAAAGCACACGTAATGTTTCCGTATTGTGTAACTTGATATATAGATCGAAAGGCTTTTTAATTAATCCGGGTTATTTTATTCACGACCACTGCACTGTCACTATACACCGATCACTCTATAATCGTATTAAATTAAGAACACACCATGAACTTCATGATGCTGCTCTTGTAGGTTGCACTGAAGCCAGCGAACTCCTGAATGCGAATGATGCGTGTTGCTCTGTAGCTTCGCTATATATATGCTGTAAGAGCGGCCGACCGAAGAAAAAAAATGGCGCCGCTGTAGGACTATGTTACACTTTCGCTTTTGAGGGTTTGTGCGGGCCGAAATGCTCCTTATCCATTATAGAATTTGACCATTTGACTATCGGCTGTGAGAATTCCGAGCTTGTTCTTTAGATAGTTGTAGTTGACAAAGCTTTGCGCAAAAGCTCCCGCAAGGGATAAGACTCAGCTTAATAGTATTGCGCAGCAAATCAATTTATCAGCATATTTTGTAAGTAACTCATTAAACTTATTTTAATAAACCTAATTAGACTTTGGTTCTGCAAGTGTTTGTTTGAATAATAAATTGAAATCGCGCAATCGGCCAATGCCACAGGTATTAAGTATTTTTTTAGAAATTAAATGTATCGAAATTAAATGAATTTATTATAAATCTTAATTAAATATGTCATCATATTTATGTAAGTGTCATCACTTACATATAATTGGATAAATAATTTTTTAACAAATTATGGTTAAAGACGTTTTTGCCATGAATATTTTTAATAAATTGAAGGTTATAAATGGAAATGAGTTTATAGAATGTATGTAGTTTCATAAGTTATCGAGTAATACTTGATTAAAGGCACACAATTTGTTGATTTCTTATAAATTGCGTAACGATCTGGTTTAGCACCTATCTTTAAAAGGCTTCACTCGAACCTAGTCAGGCAAGATGCACCGATCTGCATAAAAAACAACAGACTTGTTTCCAAATAGCTTTCTGGTAGATTAAATTATAATGTTTATTCGAATAACATCTCTGACATATAATATTAAAACGTGAACAAACAAATTATGAAACAACAATTTATTTCGAGATTGCGTGTTTATGGTAACTAACATAACTGAATCCCTCACTGTCTAGAAAATGTTTCTTCAGCTACTCGATTATTAGATTTATCAATGATATCCTAAACTAAGAAGTATTTCACCTGAAAATAAACGGTCTGTTCTATTTGTGCAAGGACGATATAAACTAACTCTTTGAAGGTCATCGATATTATATTAGATTGGGGAAAAATTCTTTCCGCATATAGTGTGCATAAACTTGTAATAAAATCTTTATGGCGTCTAAAGTCTAACTTTTAAAGAAGATAACTCCGAATTCAAATAAGGAAAATGTGTGATTTTCCATTGGTTTTTCAGAGTCAAAATGAATGAATCTAATGAAGAAATTCGAAACATTTTAAAAATTTATTACAAGAAGATAAAAATGCAACACAAGCCGCGAAAAAACATTGTTATACCTAGTTCAGTTTCTGTGGGAGTAGCACAAATTTGGTTCAACCGTTTTCAGTCCGGAAATTTTTATGTCAATGTTATACGTCGCTCCGATGGTCTTGTTACGGATAAAATGGATGCCATTTTAGAAAAAGTGGAGCCAGATCCTCATATTAGTAGTAACGACGTAGCTAAAGAACTGGGGATTGACCAGGAATAACCGAGAACAGTTTTGGTGCGTTTGAAAAACGCTTGATACACAAAAAAGTTGGATATTTGGGTACCTTACGAGCTCACTGAAAGTAACTCATTAACCATGTACTCATTTGTGATTATTTATTTCTTTATTTATTTAATAACTAGTGATGATCACATACAAGAGCGTGTGTAAAAAATCGTGTTCAAAGGTCGGTCAGGCTTCACAGACTGTGGCTTAACCCGGGTTGTTGTGATCAACAAGGAATTCTTCCTCATAGATATTTTACGACTCAGCAAAAATTAAGAGAGTTCGACTGGGAGGTTTTAATGCATCCGCCGTATAGTCCTAACCTTTCCTTTTAGATTTCTAGCTATTTCGGTCTCTCCAGAATTCTTTAGGCAGTGTCAGGTCAACATCACGCGGAGACTGCCAAAACCACTTGTCGCGGTTTTGTGTTCAGAAGCCCCAAAATTTTTATAGCATTGTGATTACATCCCAACCTACATGATGGCAAAAAGTTATCAAACGAAATGGTATCTACATACTTTAGTTAAATGTAAATAAACTTCATTAAAAACACATTTTAAATTTTCATATAAAAAATGATGAAACTTTTCCCTAACCTATTATGTGTTTCTTTTATCGATTGTTGTAATTATATAGAAATAAAAACTTTATTCCAGTCTGTAAAGACCAGATTTTTAATAATAGATATAACTAAGACAAACAGAAGTATTAATTTTTGATTTCTGTTTTAATTTCAATAAGGAGCTTGTTCTATATTCGTTCGTAGATAGTTTTTATGTTGACCAATTTTTCGCAACTTGGGAAGCGATTTGGTTTTTATTAAAAAAATATATAGATAAACGCGACTTAATGAAGCATTGTGAACTTAGCATTGTAAATGCAAAATTGATCAAAATTTAATAAACATATAGCTCATTTGCAGGTTTATTTAGACCGCCTCGCGTCAAAATATTTTATACAATAAACTTATCAATAAATTTGATATGTCAGTGTGAAAACATTGATAAAAGTTCTTCGATATTATATAATTGTTTGTTGCCAAGCTATATTAAGCCTCCTTTTCCTGAAGATGTTATGTTAAAATATATAAGTTACAACTTTTAAACGGTTACATCGTGTTTGTGAAGGTACTAGTAAAGGTCAGTAACTATCTATGCACTGAAACGCGACTCTATTACCTATGACTGCAACATTCCAGATTAATTGTACAGAGTGAGAATTTATCCTTATAACTCGTACCAATTAACACATCATCTGTCTTTAATTCATTCTCGAAAGAAAATCCGTAAAGTTTCGAATCGTTCTCATAGTTTTGTTAAAATTATAACCCTGAAGATTATTTGTGCATCAGAGGCATTGTCAGCTACCGGCCTACCTCGGTTGCATCACAAATTATCGAAACATGCTTTTATTTTTGGAGAACAGTATTAGCATTTCGAAACAGTGAAAATTTAGTTTTTGGAGAAATAGAATATGCGTTCAGGTGTCATGTTAATTCGTACGATTCGATAAGTAATTTCATCCAAACTCGCGTTATATTTTCTTTATCGAACATCTTTCTTCCATGAATAATTTAAATCTTTATTGCATTGATTTATGAACTTACTCAGGACATCACTGCTGTAGCAAAAATGTTTACTAACCTGTTATTCAGAATAGTTACAATTTGTGGGTTTTTATTTAAAAGCTTCTGAAACAAGAACTTACTTTATTTCTTATCAAGTATATTGGTATTATTTGTATTTAAAATTATATTGCCTTTTTTATTATGTATGGCTCTTTCTTAATTCCTTATTTAAAGTTCATTAAGTTCCAATTGAAATACATTACTACTTATATAGTTATAAATAGCTTCATGTCAACCTATTGTCTTTCTCATTTACAGTTTATTATAGCAAAGACATTACGAAGAGATACTGAAAAGAAGTGGAACTGGTAATCGGGAAGAAAAAAATTGAAATGTAAATCAGTCATTCGTTTATTTTTCTATTGCAACATCCAAATACATCACACAGAGGAAACGATTGCTTATGAAAAAAAAAATCTAAAATAAACTAAATTATGTAGGTACCTATGTGTAGCACTTAGAAGAGGCGAGCTCGGTGCTTTAAAATATCTATTGGTGTATCGATTTTCTCTCTTTAATCTATTATGGAACAAAATAAATAGATTGATGAGAACAATATCAGCCATTTCCTGATTATTGAAAAAGTATAAAATTCTCAACTTTTATTCTTAAACACTCGGGTTTTTACGTTTCAAAAATCATAAAGTCCTAGTTTTATTTAACCGATCATTATATAAACTGAATTCAGAATCGAAATCCCGTTTAAGTAATATTTAAGTACTGTTTGAAATTCTCAATTTAGGAACAAGCTGTATGTTTTTTTTTAAGCAAGCAAGGAGAATAGATTTCTCTCTAATTTTATTGACGTTTCGGACCCTTTACAAGTTCCGTATTCACATAAGTTTAAGGTGTTGATTGTCTTTTAATTAAGAGTATAGCTTCCTTCAAAACAATACTATTAAACACATGGGACATTTACTAAATTAAATTATTTTACAAAATACATTGACGTTAAAAACAATTTAAATGTTGTTGATTTTATAGATAATGCGCGTGAAAATATAAGAAATCAATATGTAAGTTACAATAAAGTAAACCTTTTCTATACCCTTATTTTATTCCGTACTATAAAAATTACTCGTATAAGCTTGATATAAGTTTAAGAATATAAACTATTTTATTGCATTCCATTTGCCGAAAAAACCCAATAGCAAAATTATAACTAGATAAGTTTTCTATACATAGATATCAAGAAATTTAGCGTAAAATTTTTATACTTTTCAGTAACCTAAATGTTACTCGGTAGGCGATTTATTTTTAGATTGTTTGCAAGATTAAAATGTAAAAGTGTCCGAATGTAGTGTTGGCAATTAAAACCGTATTTGAAAGTGCGCTGTAACTTGAGTCTCGCTGTAGGAGCCCGCGATGAATGTGACTTGAATTGCTACTATCACTTAAACACGAGATTAAGTTAGATACCTATTTATTATGCTAAGATTCACTTAAGACGGATATACACTACGACTTATTTCAATAAACGATAAAGATAATACGTCACCAATAAATGAAATGTTAACATTAAAAAATAAACGTTCTCGATGGAAAAGAGTTTTCTTATTTATTTATTATTTGTATTTATTCATGGTATACTGTAAAGTAATTGCGACTGTTTTATATTAAAAATAATACAAAAAAATTCAATATACCATTTTATCACACTAACAGTTATCAAACATTTTTTTTTCTCCGTTTTATATATGCATAGTGTAAATCATACAATCGATTGTTTTTTGTACACTGATATTTATTATTATATACATTATATACATTATATACATTAAATAATTTATATAATACTTTGTAATTACACTGTACTCTCACTCCACATTCACTTTGATTTTACGCTAGCGACCAAACGGCGACTAGGGT